TCTCACAAAAGATTAATTTATTCTAAAATTGAATAGAATTATAAATAAATTGTTAAACGTATTGCGCATACTGTCTACAGATTGTATATCAATTAACATGTAATATATATGTATATAGTATAATATATAATATTAACATAACTTTTTAATTTTTTAAAAGTTGTTTGATGTAATACATTTTATTTACGTAACTTAACAAGTAATTAAATAATTTTTTTGCTTAATTTTGATACTACTTGTATACTGGATACTTGATATAGTTGTATATTTTATTATATAATTACTTATTATATATTAAATGTCATTTATATAAAATTATATAAATGCTCTGATTGAATCCATGCATACAATGTATAACGTACAAGTTTGCATTATTTTCAAAATTATTTTCAAAATAGGGTTTCAACGTGAAGATTGAAGCTTACTTAGGTCGTCCATTATCCTGATCCATTATGTCCAAATCTTCGAGACCCTCGTTTTCATCAAGTTGTGCCCATGATTTAAGTTCGTCTGGTGTCAAAGTTGCAATTTTCTTTTCTATAAAAATAAGATTTTTGTAATAATTTTCAATGCATTAAAACAAATAGTACGTATAAAATAAAAGACTGCACAGCAATATATATTTACAAGTAAGAACTTACCTTCCTCTTGTCTCATTTTTTCTACCTCGTCCTGACTTAAAAAGCTGAATATTTTATCTGTAACATACATGTATGCATACATTACACAACTATTAACTTGGTTATTATTTTCAAAGATAAGCATAAAGTATCATATGTAAATTCTCACCTGGTTTAGGCGAGGGTTTCAAATGTTCTTCCATGGCACTTTCGAATAACTTCTTTTTATCGCTGACTGACATTTTTATCAATGGTGGTGTTGGGGATGAAGTTGGAGATTGCTACGTAAGTATGTAACATTAACATAAGTAAATATCGATTTCTCTCCGTACTTTTCATATACAACAATTATAATTATTTCAAATAAAAACATCACACATTGCATCTATCCCACATGATTTAAATACATATTATGTATAAATAAAATAGACAAGATTAGATTAGATTGGATTGGAAAGAAATTTATAGTAACGCTTTCAGGTCATATTTAAATGACAAATGTAATTTCTTAGATTATGGCTAAAACTTTGTTTTAAGTTAAATGTACACACACACGTATATACGCATGTACGTGTGTACGTATGTTAATATGTTGATTAATTAGACATGCTTATGAAACCCACCTCAACCTGAAAATTTCCATCAACAGAACGTGCTATCTGTCGTTTGCTAAAAGAAGCCGAGGTGTCAAGATTTTCCCAGTATTCGGGAGCAGTTAGAGGTGTTGGGGGAAGTTGGAAACGTGCGGGTGTTTGATAGGAAATAACTGTTTGTGGAAGGGAAGTAGATGTTTTCTGCGATGTCTGTTCTGATTGCTCAATTTTAGATAATGTAGGCTTAATATGGGACGGATAAGTAATAGAATCCGAACTTTTTTTTAAAGACGGTGGCAGATCGGCAAACGTAATACTGCGTTTTGGCAAGGATTTCTTTTTCGTTCGACAAGGTAAAGTTTGCATAGAAGTAGAACGTTCAAAATTCGCTGCTTTAGGAAGGTCAGGGATCGTAGATGACTTGGACGAAGAAAAATCCTTTGATGTTCCAGATGTCACATTTGTTCTTGACTAGTTAAATAACATGGAAAATTATATTAATTATTTGGTGGAACACGCGGCTTAAACCAAAATAAAACAAAACTGTTCATCATTAAGTATTGAAATACATGCAAAGCAACCAACAACATACTGCTATTGAATTAATATATGTATATTATAACACAAAATACATATATACGGATTATTCCAACACCACTCTACATACTAGATCTATAAAATTGTACTTTATGAAACGCTTCTTCTCTTTTCTTTATAAAATTGTTATTTACTTCTATGTAATAGAAGTAAATAACAATAAAACTAAATAGTTAAATAAAACACTAATATAATAGATTAAAATATTAATATCCTTAAAATTTTAGAATTATACTTTAAAACAGATTTATTTTCACAAATGCTACATGTCATACAAAATCTATATAGGATTTAAAGAAGAATTTCAAACTTCTTTGTCCGATCATCTTTTCTGCTTATAACTGTTTATACGTTCAATAGTGTATCTTTCAATTGTACTATTATTGCAATAAATCATGCAACGTTGCGCATAATTTAATTTGTGAACATATGATCGGTATGTTAAACATATTCTCTCATTTCATTAAGTTATCCTATATTTGTACCCTATTCATCGTATCGATGTAGTAGTGGAGACTGTTATGTGCCTCGAATACTTTGAGACACTTGGCAAGTTTTCTCTCACTGTGACTTACCCTGCGACCCCATTCACTGATTTATATATTTTGTATCCTGTAGAATAATTCAAAGTGGATATGTGTTGCATTTCACTTTAAATCATATATTTTTTTCTATCTCATTGCAAATATATTTGTACTATTCAAACGTGAGAATTTTCTATGTTTTATTTCAATTTATTGCTTCATATTCCTACTTTTGCAAACTTTAAGTAAATCCACATAGGACATACATAGGAATTTCTACTTTAAACCAATTTTCAATCTTTATATTCCTTCTTCGCAAGGTCACTGCTGAAGAACAAAAAGTTGTAATTCTCTATTCAAAGACAAACAAAATTGTTTTGTGGAATTTAAACAGTCTCCTCTACTATAGGATATTATATGAAACAACGTAGTATAAATTGATTTTTTAAGTGAAACTACGTTACAATAAAATAATATACCTTCCAATTAACTATATATGTATATATTTTTTTTCTTCTCTTCCTATCTAAATATATAGTTATGAAAAAGAAAAAGATCTTAATGTACATTTTACAACAGGGATAACTATAACCACTTTCAGAAAACTTCTGTGCATAGGCAAGATTATATCTTAAAAACATTCAAATTTCATTCCTATGCCGATCAACTGGAACTTTAACATTAACATCTTTCAGATATCATTTAAGTAAATATTAGCTTATCTGATAATTTGTAATAATATATAAACATCTGGTCCATTAGAGTTATATGAACATATAATGTTTATAGAAAATATATGGATACATTGATTCAAATTTCAATAATGATATGACTTAATTGTAGTACTAATGTACTGTCAAGATTATTAATAAGTCTAACTGAGACAAAGGCCAATATTTAAAACACGCTCACAACGATGTTCAAATTCTTAACAATGTAAAATATTATTTTTCTCTCGTCAAGATTTGCATTTGAAACGGAATAATATTCAGCGTTTTCTAAAGTAAATTTTTTAACCATGCGTATTTACGTTATTATGTCTTTTTAAAACATTCGGTTTCGCCTGATGTAAAAATGATAGTAATTGATAGTATAAACTTTAACTATTTTTTAAAAGGCTAAATAATTTAACTAAAACCTTCATTTAAGAAACGACTTGTGTAAAAAAGAAAAATTACAATAGAAATTAAGTCATGATACTTCCTCTATGTATACGTAATTAAAAATTATTTACATTAATTAATAAAATTAATAATTATGTGCAGCAAGTAATAAATATAATAAAGAATATTGTATGCCTTTCCCAAAATAATAATAATATATAGATGATAATGTAACTATGAAAAATATATTTTGTATATATATATATCTTTTCTGGTTGAATTATAATACATTTTAGTACATTTACCTGTGTATGTGTACATATATTGTATACACACACACACGCACCCACACACGCAAACGCACACGCACGCACGCACACACACACAGACACACACAGACACACACACACACACGCCCGCGCGCACACATACCTCTACGTATATGTATATATGTATAAAATTTATTTTGGAATTATATTATTTTTCATTTTTCTATAATGCAGTAAAACAGTGTTATAATAACACATATACTGCTAGATTTAATATTTGTCTACATTTTAACAGGAAAGTATAAAACAATTTTCAGCAATTTTTTATATCATTCCTGATTGTGAAATATATTGTTTTTTAATAAACACGTCACTAATAAAGAATTTTGTATAGAACAAATATATGTATATGTATAAATTGTTTAGCCTTTTAAATAATTTAGTCACTACTGTAACACGTAATACTTGTGTTCAAGTTAAAAGTTTATAAATTATAAGTTTTAGAACACTAATAACTTATTTTTGTAAAAAATGATGGTACCCGCTAAATAAATCATAATCATTTTTTTCAGTGTTCTCCGTCAGTAGAAAACATTATAAATACGTAGATATGTCATGTTGAGTACGTGATAAATGAAATATTTATGTACGCAACGCTAAAAGTAACTAGAAAATTTTTAAAAGCTTGTATAGACTTTTGTTATGTTAAAAAGCTAATTCTTGTATCACAAATTGTCTATTTTTAGTGGTCATTCATTCCATAGCTGAGAAAAATCATCCAATGATTAATCGAGATTAACTGTAGCAATCATATTTTATATGTATTGCACATTACTATAATTTACTGCAAACAAATGTATGGATCCATATCTATATGCAAATGTTACTGAAAAAATTTTGTTAAATGTATGAGGAATTTTTTACTATAACTTGTTTCTCTATCACAGAAATACCTCTTTTGTTATTCAATATTTATGAATAAATGAATTATATATATATAATATATGCACATACATACGCACACAGCACGCACACACATAGATACGCAGATACACACACATACACACACACACACACACACACACACACACACACACACACACACACACACACACACACACAATGTATACGCGAGCGCGCGCACGTAATCGAATAAGATCACATTTACGCGTCACGCTCTTTTTAAAATTCCTATTCCGTTTTCAAAGCAAAAGATCAATTGATTGTAGATTTAACTCAATCATCAGCATATTTCCAATAATACTTAATGTTGTAATGGCAGTATTAATAACAAATGGAGTAACAATAGCTATGCTGTATAACAGTAGACATATAAAAATGCAATAAACCATGATTATATGCGAGTTAATGCCAATTCTTAATTCTTAGAGAATGTTTTGTTATGGCATAGTCCTGCGGAATCAGAGGCATGGACGCAGACAGGAAAAATGAGTAGAAAGATGAACGACTCACTCCTGTTAGAGGGCAGCCAAAGTAGCACTATCATCTTCCACTGTCTGTAAACATGTGAAATATCTCTCTTTTTGGCGCTCAGGAGATCATGCGATGCTAAAGACAACTGACAACTGTACATTTCATGCGCCACTTAGAGTACCTAATGAAATTACGTTATAGATCATATTTACATAATGTATTTACGAAATCCATAAAAATGTTTTCGTTCCTATTGCAAACGAATGTTAATAGAAAAAATGTATATATAACATTTAGAGGCATGAAAAGATTACATTATAATCTTTTCTTCTATATATAAACCTTGTAAATTTTGATTAAACCTGTGTGAGAATAATTCAGTTTATTTAAATGCTTAAAATTAAATTAAATTATTTCAACATCTTCTATTTTAATCGTTACTTTATTAAAACTGCAGCTACTGTTATTTCATAACGATAAATGTAACGGGCATTTAAACATCTTTTAAAATGATTGGAGAGATAAAGAAACCTTTTCTCTTTTCTCCTCCTTTTTCTCACTCTCTCTCTCTCCCTCCCTCTTTGTCTGAATTTTTACATTTCATGCAAAAAATGCATATATGTCTATAATTACGTGCACGTAGTATTTTAAAAATTAAATTAATTTTAATTAAAATGTTTTATACAAAATAAACCGACAATTAACTTAGCTATTTAAATCTAATTCAAATCTTTCAATCTTGTATCTTCTTTACGTTTAAAAATTTTCGTTTAATTTTCAAAATAAACAAATATATTTTAGATTTATATGCATTTTATTTTGTAGATGAGCAGTAAAAAAGGCGAATAAAGCGGGAAAAGTACAAAACATGCAGTATTTTCATACAAAAAGCCATGCAGAATATACAAAAGGAAAGCAATGCCAACGATAAAAAATAAGATTTATTAATTTTTAACTAATAGTTAGAAATAAAATTATCCCATGCAATACATTACATCATAAAAAAATATGATAAATATATTATTGATTTATATGTAGGATAGAACTATGAGTGAGGCAAAAAAATAGTTGGTTTTTATTAAAATATTGAAACAAATATATAAGGAATGCGCAAAATTAAGTACCAAAAGGAGTGGTGTTGAATTCTCTTTTAAATAAACATTTCAAATTAAACAAACAATTTATATCTAAGAAAAAGATGATTTTGGGATAAAATTTAGTACATCACATATGTATACAAGAGACACGCTTAAACGTACTATTAAATCTGTTAAAATAAAACATATACATATAATGTATATGTGTATGCATAAAAGTTTAAAGAAAAATAATGTAATACTTACGTTATTAGGATTTTGTGGTGCTAGTGTATGTTTACTCATAACAATCGTGGTAGTTTTGAGATCTTTAGTGCCCCCAGGTGACTTTGGTGGTACAACCATATCGACAGGACTGTTTGATTTGCTTACTAATGATTCTGCCGCACGTACAACATCCAATACCTATAACAAAGTCAAAATTATTAAGTACAAATTAAAACGAGTTGAATTATCACATAGGATCAAATTTAAAAAATACACTGAAACAAATCTTTACAAATTACATTTGTTTTACAGAGTAATCGCGTTCTTTGCAAAGGTTAAAAAAAATAACAGCTCTACATGTAGCACCTGCTACATACTTTGGAATTTAGATCATAGCAAGTAGAAAATATTTCGAAATTTTAACAAATATTAAGAAATTTTATAAAAATTATAAGAATTCGTAATTTACTAAAACTTGTCTCGTTAATGTAGAAGTATTATGTACAAATAAAAATAAAAAAGTCTTACTTTTTCAGGCGTGGATTTCTCTCTTTGTTCTACAAGCGCACGTTCTCGTTCTTCTTGTTCCCAGGCAACAAGTTCAGCTTTCATTTCTTGCTCTTGTCTAAGAATCGCAGCTTCCTCATCATCACGATCTAAACTGGATACACTTTGTGATAGAGATTTAGTATCATCCGTAGTTGGATCCCTTGCTTCGTGAGATCCTTCAACTCCTTTGTCATCTCTATTGTCGGATAATGTTAATATTGATTCAACGTCACTTTTATCGTATCCTTTACACACAACCAATGTAATAGTATTCCCTGAGCAGCGAAGAATGTTGACGGCTTCTTGATGAGTTGCACCTAATAATGATGTGCCATTGACTTCCAGTAACCTCATTCCAACCTATTATAAAAAGAAATATATATATATATATAAACTTAAGTATATTTAAAATATGTCAAAATAAGAAGATACAAATACACAAGTATTATTACAAGTATACTTACCTTCAATCGTCCATCTCTCTTAGCTGCACCACCTGAATTAATCTTCGATATAAAAACACCCTCATCGGTATGATCCAGAGGATTGCCTTTCTGACCTCTTCGTCCTCCTTTAATGTGCATACCAAGCTTCTCACCTGCTTCCTTTGTTATCACTAATTCCTAAAACAAGTTACATCAATTCTCTCTATAAAATAGTTTACCATTTCCTTCGTTTCAGACTGTCGGATAGAAATATAAAAATTAAGAATGTTGTTATGCACACACAAAATAATAATTTGATGTTATTCTATTCAACTATAAATAATCTTCTTTTCTTTCAAGATACGATACTATTGTATGTATACGTCAACTATTTTCAATTTCAGTAATGATTTATTTCTCTGCACATTTTAGCGGTATTCAAAATTAAACGAGCGAGTTTTGGGGGAAATGTTGATATTTAAAAAACAGCCAAAACAAGTCAAGTTCAATGAAATTTCTGAAGAGTAAGAATCGTATTTAATATAGCATTTAATACTAATGGCATAAAAGCACGATAAAGCACAAAAAGCATTTGACTATAAAGCAATTTGAATATAAAGTAAAGGTCTCCTGTACGTGTGTGAAATCGCACGGCATAAGCAAAAGCGAGTTTATTCATTCATAACATAAAAGTGAAATTTGCAGCCTTGGTGCAGGGATAAGCATAAATGAGAACAAAAATTACGGTCATGTCAAATGCATCGAGTACTTACTGTCACAGGGATGTACTCTATTTCGACCAGCTTGTGGGGCAAATTATAAAAAAAAACCGCATTAGGTAAGGAAATAATCACACGCTAAAGCACCAAGTGCCATTGTGTTCGTAACTAACAAGCATTCCTTGGAAACGTTAACAAAATAAGGAAGAAATTTTTGAAAAGTAATTTATTTACTTAATAAAGTGCCTGTAATTCTAAGCATTAAAGTGACCTTTTCTCAAAAAGAGATGGTTTTTCAGAAGTGCATAAAAGTGTGTTTATAAAAACTTGAGATAAGACTAACAATTTCAAGAAGACTAAGACACGTCATTGTACTAACTGTTGTGTTGCGTACTGAATAGATATTTCTAAGATGCCATTCACTTTCAGTAGTAACTACATACATTTTTTAGAGAGAAATACAAATCGTATAGATTAATAGTAAAATATAAACATAAAATATTAAGTAACAAAAAGAACACGTGTAATTTTGTAATGTATAATTGCACACACATAAAGTTATATAATTTGATCTGTAGACTTAGAGCTCTATAAGCATCACTAAACAGCTGTTTAAAGCAATGTCACGTTAGAAACACAAATGTGCTATTTACCTGGTAATTTTCCGGTAGTGGATCATGTTGAATGGTAAGCACAATTTGATCGCCTGGTCTTAAAAGTTCCATTACCGCTTCTTGATGCGTAGCCTTTGTCACATCTGTACCATTCACTTTCAATATTCTGTCACCCATTCTCAGTTTACCAGACTTGGCTGCTATGCCACCAGGAACAACCTATATACATACATACGTACATACACACACACACACACACACACATAGTTACATAAAATTAAATACCTATGTATGCAAGTGTATAAAAAGTGATAGACACTCTATACTGCAAATTAAAAGAGGCTTACGTGAGATATAAAAATCCCCGGTTCCTTTGCACCGAATGGTGTACACGAGTGATCAGTTCCCCCTATTATACTGAAGCCTAAGGAGCCTTCTTTCACAAGGACGACATCCTAAACAATAATTATGAAATCAGTTGTATAATGAAATAAAGATGTTAATTTTGTTAAGTGCCAAAGATATTAACGGGGATAAAAGTTTAGAGTGTATAATATTTAGTACATGTGAAGGAAGAAGAACAAGCTATGGATTTTGATAGACTTTTATTGAAACATAAAAAGAAACAGTGACAACGATACTTCTCTACTTATTCCATTTTGTTAAGAATGGTATGGGACGAAACAAATCTTTACACTACTTACCTATTCCCATGCCAGAAGATAAGCACACTGTGATTATCATAGTCCATCGATAGTTATCAAAATTGATTCTAAGGTCATCCCATTAATATTTTTTTAGATAATTTTATGAAAATGTAGAAAAATAGACATAAGAGAGAAATATAATTGAGCAAAAGTTTACATATGCATACAAAGAAATCAGTTAAAAAGATACAAAAACGTACGTGTTTAAAAATGCATAAAATATACCTATAGTGCAACCCTGATTGTCTTTGGTATAATTTCTATTTTACATTGTTGCTTTGCATGTTTGTGTGCTCAAGTATATCTCAGTTATATCTTTAATTATGCAAAAGAAAAGCCGAAGAGAGAGAGAAAATCACACAAGGAAAAATGATAATAATGTATGAAATGAATAAGAAAAGATGTGAAACAACATATTCTTTCAGTTGTACTTTTCTTGCACTTCCTACGTATACTTGAAGATTTAAGAGTATATTTTCCGTTGGAATTGATTGTCGTTTTGAGGAAATTTGATAAAGTTTCAAATGATAAACAGTCGGGGAACGAGCTTGTGATGTAAAAAATAATGATACAAGCGAAAGCTTTTAGTATAATATAATGTGCCGAAACTACATTGATCAAACTGCTATCTAGTTATAAAATGAATAAAATGTAATAAAATGAAGTGAAAATTGGATGAAATGGTAAATACGCACGACATGAGATAAAATAGCAAGATAAAAGAATATTAAAGTAATAAAATGTAATAGGGCTTTTATAGGAGCAAGATTACATTGGCAATACGTGTGCAATATTTGATGCTTCTCCAACTACACAGGCACATACCTCGATAATAAGTGGTTGCACCAACTGGTTGTCGGTCACTCTAGTTACGACGGTCTCGGTGAGTGTACTCTTTGTGATGGTCTCAGTAACTTTACCGAGTGTAGTAGGAGCTGGAGGAAAATTTACATCTCCAGGCAAAGTATCGGGCTGCTTAATCGTCACTGTCACAATGGGGCCCTGATGGGAGTCTGGTGAAGGCGAGGATGTTGGAGGTCGAAGGAAATGAGCGGGGATCATAGCTTGAAATTCCTCGTTGGTGATTGGCTTCGGTACCTGTATGTCTTCCTGCGGAGATGCTGGTCTAGGCTCTACATGAGGAGTCGTAGCTGCAGAACCAGCATTATTTATAGGTGTCGTCTGAGAAACACTATGTCTTGGAGCTGGCTGTGGATACGTTTGATTACTTGTCGGGCTGGGAGATATCGGTGAAACATTCTTGAGAATGTTTCCTGAATCAGTTACACCATTCATTTTAGGCATCTCATTGACATCGGATTTCACGGGCAATGCTGGTGGCGATGGTGGAGTTTTTGAAGTAGGGCTTGGCGTCAATGCTTTGTCAGCATCCATGGAACGACGATAGCCACCGTATCCAGGTCTATTTGCCATATAACTGTTGGCACTATACAGGCCTGTGTAAGGTTTTGGTGTGCCTATAACACGTGGCGATTTTTCAGAAGGAGTTACAACGGTGGTAAGATTTGCTTGAGAAAGTGGTATTTCCCGTTCGACTACTAATCGAACGAATCTTTCCAAGCCTGTAAGTAAAGCCACCGCTTGCTCGTGTTTTGCTCCCCTCATATCTACTCCGTTAATCTGTACATTCAACCGTACGTAAATATTATTCATTTGTATATTCAATCTTGTCATCTGATACAAATTTAACAGAAATTTGAAAAAAGAAACACTTACGGATATTACTTTGTCTCCGATTAATAATTTACCGTCTTTTTGGGCAACTCCGCCGTCTGTTATTCTCGAGATAAAAATTGCCTAGAAATGTGATTAACAGTTAAACAGTAATTAATCTCAATTCAAATAATATTTAAAAAATTTGTTTTATTGTACAAATGCTTACATCGTTATTATCCTTAAACGGTGACGAACCTTCCCCACCAGCAATACTAAATCCAAGTCCATTTTGGTCTCGTATCAACGTTGTGTGAAAGAGAACGGATACCAGAGGTTCACTGTCTTTTACAGTCGTTATAGGCTCGGGAATCTTTTTCGTCTGTGGCATACAACGTACATATTACATTCAAATCGTTAACACATACAAAAATTGATAAACCTTAAAAAAATGCTGAAAAACACATTACCTTTCCAGTTTCATGAGACATAGATGTGTCACCATTCTCTAAAGTATGTGACAATGCTGTAGATGAAACGTAAGATGTTGCGCTTGGTGCTCTACTTGTACTCAAGCTGGAGCATACCGAATCTTTTCTCATTGGTGCCTGAAAGTAATAGGCCAAAATTAATATCAATCTTGCTTATTTGAAATAAAACTTATCATTTGACGACTAAATCTAAAAAAAATGATGAAACAACTATTTTATACCTGTTCATATGGCGGAATTATTCTTGTAACTTCCCTTAAGACAACCAACACAAGTACACGTCCACACGCTTTCAACACTTCCACAGCATCATAATGGTCTACATTTACTACCGACATTCCATTTACAGATATTACTTTATCTCCTATCCTCAAGCCAGCCAAGTCTGCGGGTCCACCTGAACGTATGAAATAAATTATCATATAACTGTATACTATCATAATAAAAAAAAAAGAGAAACATTCATACATAACATGCATCAATGCGGTAAATTAAAAATTATACAGCTGCAAATGAATGTTTACCTTCGGTAACTTTTGAAATAAAAATGCCTTCATCATCGCCTTTATAAGGTGTCGACCCGATACCACCAGCTATTGACAAACCTAGTCCACCTGTCGTTCTTTCTATATGAATTTCATATTGCTCTTCTCGTATTTCCAACGCTGGTTCAATATCAGACGTTGCATCTAAGATAACAAGCCTTTAATTAGCCATTATTGAGATGGCAGTTAATAAATATTATATATCACCTTGCTGTACATATTATCGCGTATGCTCGTCAACATTTACCTTTTCTAATCCTTTTGTTTCTAATAAAACATTTATATCTTCGAGACATCTTATATTACTTAATCTTTTATATAAAATAACTTTATTTATATAAAGAATATCACATATACGACAAACACACTGTTATAATTTATCAACTTCCTAACGCGTACCATTGAGAGACACATTGATAACTGAATCAGAGATAAGACTATGGGTAGGGTAAGAGATATATCTTATCATGTTCCCCTTCTACTGTGCGATAAAATCAAAATGAGTCATGTACCAAGAATTTTAAAATACTCTATCATTGTTTAATAAAATTTTTCATCGTTATGTATAATAAGAAGGGTCTCCCAAAAAAGAAATTTGGTAAATAAATGCAATAAGTACATAGTACACTACAAAGGGACTATAATTGTTACATTTACCTTGACTATGCGTGTCGAATGTCTCCATAGATTCTACTTGCGATGGTAAAGATGTACAAGTCTCGTCAACTTTTTTCGAAAGTGCCTATAAAAGTGTTAAATGTTATTGATTACATTTATGTATGCATACGTATGTATGCGCGCGCACATACATACACCATACATGTTGCTAAACATGGTATAAGCATGTGTTTCTTTTACGAAAAAAGTTTATAATAAAAGTAAAATTTTCCATTTATTAAATAATATAACGTATAAAATATCAACCTGCGCAATAATAGAAGCAACTTTTTCTTTATCAATTGCTGTATGAATGCGTTTATTTTTCAGATGATGTGGAGTGTCTCTACGTTGAAGTTTATTGGGTTTATTTGAATCACAAACATCTTCGTCATTTGCGTCTTCTACAACACTAAATTCAACGTGTCTTTGTACTTCTTCATTTTCAGACTCTTCATCTCTTTCTTTTGATTCGGGGACAGAATTTTCAGTTCTTGCATTCTGCGAAAATAAACTCTTTTAATTTAATTTAATAAGAAATGAAAGAAATGAGAAAAGAGACTTCAAATACATACATACATATATGTATATTTCTATATATTTTTATATAAACAAATATAATAGGATAAGAATGCAAGAATAAGTTATAATTTATATATATATATATATATATACAATTATACACATAAACATTTTAATAGAGACACTTGTCCAATCAATAAGCAGCTTTACGTGTTAAAAAGTAATAAAAGATAACGTCTCGTGCATTTATTAGAATAAGTAGATCTTTCTGCAAATTACATACTGTGTGAAATTCCGTGGCAGATTGAACGGGAAGATTATCTGCTTCCTTATTGAGGTGAATATCTGTGCCATCAGCCTCAATGCCAAGTGCTTGCATTTTATTATCATCTTGTATAATATTGCATTCTATATATTCCTCTTGCTCAGAAACACATTGTGGCATGTCTACAGGATTGATTGGTGGTTCTGATTCTGTTTTATCTAATCCAAATGTTTGAGAGACATCCTGAAAAAAGACAACGCAAAACAGTAGTACATTAAGATCGTTGTAAGAGTTAACAATGTACAGTTTTACTGTTTTTGGACAAAATCAACTTTACTAGAAAAAGAATACAATGAACGTAAGCCTTACCTGTTCATCCGTAGATTCCGACCGACTTTCACTTTTTCCTTTGCTAAATAACTTATGCGCTTTAGCTTTTAATTCTTTTGGATGTGGTGTATTTTGACGTATAAATGGAATCTATTTGTCAAGATAAATAAAAAAGAAAAGATAAAACAAAAGATAATACAAACTAACTTGTAAAAGATTTGTGAAACAATGAACGCACCTCTTTATCGGCTTCTGGTGGCTCGTCAGTAAATTTCACGGAATGTGTTCTCGATGCTTCTCTCTCTTGCCAACCTTCGTCATCGCTACTTGTCAGCTCACGCATTTCACAACCTCCTTGAACATTTCTCATACCGACTAACATTCCTAATCTGCCTGAATCTAAAGAATGAGATCATTGCTTATATTGTACATTGGTATAAAAACCAAAATAATTAATTACACAAATTCTCATCGATCATTACGTAAGGATGCCCATCTCTTTCCTTTGACACTTGAGACTTTTACAATTACATACACATATATACCCAAGGAAATAAATAATTTGAAAAAATTCAACGCCAATTACTAACCATCGGGATGGAATTCCAATTGTGGCAAAAGAAAACACGTTAATACTTCTTGCCCCGTTTCCTCATCAACATCTGTTTGAAACGTCAGCATTGGTTGCGCTTGATTTTCGCTCAACCATACCGCTTTCAGGCTCAAGTTGATTAAAGAATATGGTAAATAATGCAATCTGTAGAGCAAAATTTAATACATTAATGAGAGAAATACCTTGTCGAATCTATTATTTGATAATAGTATTAACATAAGGAGCAAATTACAAAAATTACGTACCTGTTGCCAGATACATCTAGAACACGAAGAGCAGTACACTGTCCCACTTCAGCCGGAAGATACTGTAATTTATTATCTCTTAAAGATAGCACGCCCAATTTTTTCAGATTTCCTAGAGAGTAAGAAAAAGCATTGATTTCGATTACTCAAATTATAATTTAACATGTGCTTTTGTACATTTTACTATCTTACCAATTTCTATCGGCAAAGATTGCAGGCTATTTCTATCAACATTCAAATTATTTAAATTACAAAGTTTGCCTATAGACAACGGTAGCTCCAAAAGGAAATTCTCTGTAAGAATTAACTCTTGCAAATTCTCGCATCTGAAACATAGAAAACACGGGCGAATTTTTATCTCCGACTAAAACCTTGTCTTAATTTTCAAAAAGTTAACGTAACATAAATTTAGATTTTATGCTTACCTTCCTATATTTGGATTTAGAGTAGAAAGTCTATTTTGATCTATTTTAAGAATTGTTAGTTTTTTCAATTCACCAAGTCCATCAGGTAACTTTTCAATAACGTTCTGTGATAAATGCAAATCTGTTAACGATTCCAAACCACCAATTTCATCAGGAAGATCTTCTAGACGATTTTCCGAGACATCTAAACACGCCAGCGTTTTTAGTTGGCCAATTTCGGGTGGCAAGTGTTGTAATTGATTGTGATCAAGCCACAATTCTTGTAGCGCTGGTAATTTTCCTATATGCGCAGGCTACGAAGAGAATGTATAATAAAAATTATTATTTCTTCTTATTTAGTTAATTTGCAACTAAAATTGATAACTAAAGCTAGTTTAATCACTCGATGTAAAACTGTCAAATCGCTACTTGTTTAATCGCTGAAAACGCAGTTGAATAATTGAAATGGGGAAAAAAACTTTAAGTATATCGATCTTAAGGTAAAATTTATAATTATAGCAATATGATCTGATGTAACGTGGATAATATTTTTATCCGTAAGACATTTATGCTAAGAATCCATTATTAGAGCAGTAAAAATAAAAATTATTTTATATATAGAGTAATTTACCAAGTTTTACCCTCGTTCACGGAACATTCCTAAGACTATTTCCTGCAAAATTTTCTTATAAACTTGCGATTAATTTCCAATAGGAAGCAACGGCAGATTTTTATTTTTTTTTGTCAGATCTAATGCTGTTGGATTATTGCATATGCAGTTGGAACAAGGATATTATGTATCAGGCGAAGATACAAACACGCGAGGCGTCATTTACACGTATTCTGAACGCCGCAGCGATAATGAAGAACAAATATGCAGAGCTACGGAATGCTACGCGCGCGCGGTTCAAAATGAAGGAATTGAAAAAGAAATTGTGATTTAGAATGCTTCTTACTTGACAGATTAACGAATTAAAAAATGTCTGTATTATATTTGCATAACTTTCTCGTTGTAAAAGAGGCATTGTTTCTTTCCTTTAATTTGGAAATTATGAATCAGATCCTAATTGTATATTAACATCTTTTTCTCCAAATATAACTGGAAATCCTCGGAAATACCTTTCCCAGAAGAAGGGGTAAAATTTTGTAAATCATCCTATAAGGAACATTCCTTTCGAAACATATGATTGTCTTCATTCACCTGTGTTAAATTGCAAAACTTACCAATTCCTCGATCTCATTGTCACCGAGATCCAATCGTTCAAGTTTTAAAAGCTGGGAGAGCGATTCAGGCAAGGATTTGAGCAAATTTTCTCTTAATTCCAGTGACTGTAATGCCTCCAAGCTACAAGAACAATCATTTATGAAACAAGCCATAAAACTATTTAGCAATACCATATACGCATAGATAATTATAGCTTTCAAGTTTACTTGGATATTACCTTCCAAAATCAGGTGGCAAGTTTGTAAGGGACATGTCATTCAGTCCAAGTACAGTTAAATTTCTTAGTTGTACAAATCCTGCCGGAAGTCTGAAAGAAACGATCGATAAAATGTTGTTGTATTGCTTCGAATCGTTTCGGATCGACACTGTGCGTTGAGAGAAAGAAAATAAAAAAGTGTGTATGTATGTACATATTATACATACACGTGGAGGCTGTAGATCGTTATCTGAATTGAAAAGTAGAAGAAAGATAAGAATAATTGAATAACCTTGGAATAGGATTACTGCTGAAGTCTGCCACCTGTAGCGCTTGTAAATTCTTGATGTTTTCAGGAATGTCCGGTATATCTGTAAAGCAAGGTAAAATCTCGGCTTTAGTGACGTAATTCTCTGTCGCACGCACGCAATATTGCCGTCGTGCATGCGACAAACGAGCAAGTTTATTTTAATATTGTAATTGTTCATTCAAGAGAGCGATGGCCTGTTAAAACTTGTAGTTTCATTAATTAATGGCATTCTCTCGGCTTCACTTGGTTAATTTCAGCCACTGGACATTTTATTGGGAAAACTAGAAAAAAAACAACTTGGCTCGTTACTCCGCTTGGCACGTTTCGCTTCACGTCCAGAGCGGCTCCGTAAGCTCCGTTGGCTCCGTTGACCGTCATATCGCGACAGTCAAACGCACCGCGATACCATACCGTGCCGTACCGACGCGACGGGAGGAAATTACAACAAAGCGTGATTCCGCTACGAAAACAAAACAAAATCACGCCCTGACTACTTGTCTCAGTCGTCAACTTTTTCATCGCATATCCGAGTCATTGCGCTGTAAAGTGTTTCGAGAAAAACTTGAGATGAAAAACGTCTCATCGCAAAATTAGAGCAAAGTATCGTTAGAAATGTTTATCAAATGATTAATTTTAAAACAAGATAAGCCTTATGGATGAGTTGTTGTTGAAAAGATATGAATTTAATACATTATCAAGGGACAAGGCATTTTCCTTGACATTTTACTACCGAAATAGATTTGATATTGAAATTGAAAAACTTGCCAAGCCGAGTGTCGATGAATTTACAGTGAAAAAAGAGAAGGGCCGATTCTATAGAAGGAAGAATTTATGGATGGATGGAGATGCGACGGTCCAGAGGCAGCCTCTAATACGTATTACGCCCTTTTTCCCTTTTTTATGCAGGCGACGTCGATTTTCAGATGCTACTGCATCGCGGCCCCTTTTGATGCAACCGCAATAAACATTATAAATAGCACGAAACGTCCACCCTCGGCCTTTGTAATTTACCTCAGAGAGGTGACGGGAGATCGTTACTCTATTACACGTTACACATGGTTTGCACGCACGAGCTGAAAGAGTCTACGTAAAAGGACGACGAGAAGAAACCTCTCACCCCCTCACCCCAAAAAAAGGGGGAGGGGAAGGGAGTGCGTGTGGAATCCTGAAGCCCGTACCACCAAAGTACCACGAAAGATACATCTTTTGAAGCTTTTTAGCGTGGTCGATTAGAAGAGCGTAGCAATCGGTGGCTACCTCGATATACTCTCGATGGAACGATAACTCACCTTCTCTCGAGCTGTTGCGATTGCGCAATCTTTTACGTCTTTTACGCATTCGAGTTCTGTCCTACGTGTTGCGCGATACATCGCGGCTATTCATCGCACGCTCATTTTACACCGTGCGATTCCGGATGACTCAGTGGCAACGAATGTGCGGACATTGTTACAAACGGAACCAAATACGTAACATCTTTCTCAATGCATAATTGATCGTAAATGCCTACGCGCGCGCACGCGACCACGCGGCCCCCGTCTCGACTGTGTACACGAACGCGATTCTTTTTCAATCGAGTTTGCAAACTCCGTTTGCTCCATTTTCAGATCGATAGCATTCTATGCGCTATCTTTTGACCAAAGTATTGTACATTATAATGTCGCTGTCAATAAGCTTTTCTCTCCTCAACTAATTTTAGAGTGCAGTTAGCTGAGGGATAATTGTATTTGTTGGAAATAGTTGAAATTGTTAGGCTAAAATCAAACGATTTCCTCTTATCGCAATCGGAACGTCACTCCCTCTCCTTCTCGCGCATGCCGAGGTAAACATATTTCTACCTGGCGAGACCCAAAAGTGTATCAACTCGCCGAGTTTGAATGATGGCGTTCCGAGTCGCCGAGAGTAAGCGCGAGCTTACTGAAACGGGTAGGAGGAGAGAAAAATAAGAGATTAACACGTCGTCGATGGAGAAATATTGACGATAGGCGCCAGTGACAGGCGGGGCGGCTCGGCTCCGCTCGGCTCAGTTCGGCGTAACGCGAGGTAATGTGGCTCGTGGCGTCGGTAGCACTGGGTAGCGCGGTGACGCGCCTCACGCGCCACGACGGACGCAACGACGAGAGGAAGCGAAAGAAAATACACCGTTAGACGGGTTTCATTACTTTGATTAGCGCTCGCCGCCAGCGGTAGCACCCAAAGTACGCAAACTTTAGCTCCTTTACGCTCCTTTATGCCCTTCCTCCTTACAAGAGTCATCGGCCAACCGGCAAATCCGCGAAGAAGGAAGAAAGGATACGGGGTGTGCGAGGTGTTTTGTTAACTCCTAATAATTACCATTAATTGCGGTTAATTGCTTCAATTCGTATGTGGACGTTAGCGCGCAGACAAAAGTGTGAGGAAGAAAATATTCTCACCATTTCTAGACACGTCCAACTCGACGAGATTTTCGAAATTCTGAATGTCCGGTGGCAAACGATGTATCTCATTGTCGCTCAGGCCAAGTTTCCGTAGCCTCTGGAGTCGGAAGAAGTTCTGAAACGAGAGAAATTTCGCCGGAGAGCGAAGGGATGACGTCGCCTTCTAGACTCGAGACGTTACAGATACAATGGTACAAATGCTAGTACTTTTGGCAGGTCACGAATGTGATTGGCGTCCAGCAGGAGCTCCTCCAAACTCCTCGAGTATCGCAGGATATCGTCGGGGACGCACGGCAGAGAGCAGTGACGCTTGTCAACGTATTCCACCTGCCTGTTACACCCTTTAAAAATCGGAATGCAGCGGAACATGGTACACACTATTCACTGTCGATCACGTTGAAACAGCACCGAACATAATCATCTCGTTATTCGCGCATACTTCCATCCGACGCACCAGAGAACGCACGATTTCACGCCCTACTCGGCTTTAAACTCGGCGTTCTCGGCCTATGCCTCGAGATCTGACGTCATCACGTCGCGACCGAACCACCGATCACGTTGTTCACGTTGTTCACGTTGTTCGCGTCGCTCCAGAACCACGCGAATGACCCACGGCCGAGCTACGCCGCCTTCGCTTCCCGCGAGGAACGATCGTCCCGCCACCTGGCCGAGTAGAGACTCGATGGGCTCGTTTCCAACCGTCAACGCTCATTGGCCACTCGCCGAGTCCCGATCCAATCCGCTGCGTCTCTGCATTCGTGGGGAATACCCGTTGCCACACATATATACCTAGCGAGAGGCTCGCTTATCTCCACTTATCTCGTATGTCATTCGGGAGGGTTGACAACGTACGGAGTGAAGAATCCGCCTTTGTTCGCGCCTTAGTCGCGTAGCACGTATTTTCAGGACGACAATTTTCACCCGAACTCTCGTGGACCGTCAGCAGGTAAGCGCGTTAGAAAACTTGTTTAGCAATAACGTCCCGAGTCTCCTCCCAAACACGTCATCAAATTTTTACATTCAACATGGCGTACAAATCGCTCCCTTGACAAATTCAACAAAAAAAAAAAAATGTTTCACTCGTCTCCTTTCTTTTAATCGAACACGTTCTCTTCGATTCAATTATTTTCTAGCTCTCTATTGTGTCTTCTAGGGAAAACGGAATATAATTGCAAAAATTGTCATGCTACTGATAATACCTTTTTAATCAAAAACTGTAAAAAGAACTTTCCAAATAGCATTCCATCGTTTTTACACGTCTCTCACACGAAATCTACCGCATATAAAAGAGAGTTGAGTGCTCGAAAAATATAATATACAGTTGTCGTATTTTAAAATTCTTCTAGTTTCTAATCAATGGCAAATGGTTAATCTTATCTCGGAGAAGATAACCATATGTTTGTCGATAATTTTTTCTTGTTTAAAGATACATGTCTTTAGACTGATGGAAACTTTTTTGTCAAATATATTAACTTTTATTCTTTAATGCTGAGAAATTGACAGTCTGTATCTAGTAATAAAGTAAGAATAAAATTTGGTACTTATTACTGTTGCCAAATTATTTTGTTATATAATTTGTCTAAAGCTTCGACCACTAAACGTTAAACGAGATTTGTGTAGAAAAAATTAGCTTATGGATAAGCACATACTTTTTAGTTGTGTAATTATCAATGTAAGAATCTCTCTCGTGTAATTTTATACATTGTATATAAGAAAGATTGTATAATTTTATTAAGATGTAATCTGAATAAAGAAGGAAGGAAGAGAAGGGAGAGTAATCTTTTCTTTTCTTTTCTTTCAGTAAGTTTCTTATTCATCATGTTTCACGTGCGTCCTCCAGAGCCATTAACGAAAGATGGTGATATAGCCAGCAACTGGCAAAGCTGGAAAGAATGTTTTAATTCATTTATGAGATTAAGTGGATATATCGATGAATCGAGTGAAAGACGTGCAGATCGTTTAAAAAATCTAATTGGAAGAGTTGGTATTGAGGCGATACAAAATATATCTTTCGATAATATTCAAGACAAAGATGATATGGACATATTGATTGCGAAGCTGGAGGAATATTTTAATCCGCCGAAAAAGGAGGTGGTTGAACGGTACCAGTTTTTTACAAGATCAAAGAAGCAAAATGAGTCCATTGAGCAGTATATTAATAGTTTGAGAGTACGTTATACTTGGAATAATATGTTGTAAGTTATATACATGTATTTAAAGTTTGATTATTTATAGGAAAAAGCTCAAACTTGCAATTTTAACGATATGGCAGATAGTATCGTACGGGACAAAGTCGTTCTGGACACTCACGACAAAATACTACGTACTAAGCTTTTTGAAGCAGATAATTTAGATTTGCCGAAACTGGTAAAGATTTACAATGATTACAACATTAATGCTGAAAAGATGAAACAGGTTACTGAAAAATGTAAAGCGAAGCCCACGGGTGTTTTACAAAAACCACTGGATAATAATGTGAAAAGATGTTGTTGGAGATGTCACGAGCAGCATCCTCAAGGGAAATGTCCTGCTTGGGGATCAAAGTGTGGAAGATGTGGTGATGTAAATCACTTTACTCACTGCTGCAAAGATCCAAAGTTTAAAATGGATCATCATAAGGTAATGAATTATTATTTCGACAGAAAGTAACAAATTGGTTAAAAAGTTTCAGAGATATTTCTTAATTTGTACTTGCAAAATATTAATAACATTTATTGCCATTTATATCATGAACGTTTTGTATTGTAGGTGAGTTATAAAAATTTACTGGATCCGATGCAACGGGCAAATATTACCTCAAAGTTGAACAATTTAAAGAAAAACTAATTTTATGAAATTACTTTTTCCTATATGTACATGTGTATGTAAGTAAGATATATTGTGCAATATAATTCTACATGAGATAAATTTTGCATGGAAATGTGTAGAGTACATACTTAAATCTGAAAAATATATATGTATAATTAAGCATGTAGTAAAGATAATATCCCATTTATAAAATCTGATTTTATTCTCTTTACATATATGTATATGATGATAATAAAAGATATGTTTAACATGTATTTTTTGCGTATGTAAACTAAAAATAAAGATTCCATAAAAAATGATTTATTTCAATATCGCGATAGAATTATTAAAAGTTGAATATTTCGGGGCAAAAAGAAACAAAATGGAAATTAGAAATTCTCATTACCGAGTATTATAGAGATAATTTTATGTTTTAGAAAAATGACAAATGGAATAATCAAGTAGATTCCGATTCAACTAAAAGTGTGGAAAATCTCGCAAAAATTAAAATGGTATTTGCTCAAATCAGCTGGCTATATAGTAAGATATATTGATAAATAAAATATGTTTTCTAGGTCAGTCTTCCTGACGTACCAAAATCTTGTTCGCAATTCGATGTTGCAAAGTCAGCTGTCGAGAATAACTCTGCTTTTGATTTTGTAATAGTAAATGCTAATACACGTTCAGCATTAGATCATAGTAATACTGCGAATCATTCAGCGCATTTGCCCAAGAATACTCGTGCGTATACTATATTTTTCAGTCATTAATGTATAAAAACAACTTAATCGGTATAAGTGAATAAAATAAGAACAACGTGATTGTTTATTGCAGAGTACAATTTCTCGTATACGAACGCAGTCAAAACAGACAAGATAGTTACTGATTTATATAACAGAGGTGAAAATATTCAACTTAAACCTAAACAGATGGTAATTGATGATGCTAATTGAAAACTTGATAATTAAAGATTGATGTTCTATAAAACTTATTCCGATACTATAACTTGTACAGAAAGCACGTATAGAGACTGCTGGAGATGTGTCAACCACTTTCAATAGAGGTGGACATATTCAACCTAAACCTAAACCTAAACAGATGGTAATTGAAGGGTCGATAATTAAAGATTAACGTTGTATAAAACTTATACCGATGCTATAACTTTTACAGAAAACAGGACGTGTAGCGGCTGCTGTAGATGTGCCAACCAGTTTTAATAGAGGTGGTAATATTCAACCTAAACAGATGGTAATGGACGATGGTAATTGAAGGTTTCATAACTTAAAGGATTGATGTTGTGGTAAACTCATATCGATGCTATAACTTTTCAGAGGACAGTACGTGCAGAAGCTGCGATAGATGTGCCGTCAGATGTTTTACATTGTGCTGCTGAAGCTTCGTTTCATAACGTAGAAAAGGTGAAAAACGATCGAAAGGAAAAAGATGAAAGTTGTGTATTGTGTTAAATCTTTCATTATATACTTGATGATTATATCCTGCAGAGTTGTACTTTATGTACGCATACTTGATAAAACTTTCCATGTATCAATTGCATTTATGAAATACACGTGATTATACTTTTTATACAATGTATATTTATACAATATTCTGCTCCTTTTATCTATGAATTAGAAATAAGGTGTCTGCTTTAAACTAAAACGCATAAAAAAATTATGCTCTCTGAACACACTCTGAAGCTTGTTCGGCATCTTTATCAGCTTTTGTGGAATCGTTGGCTGTGTCGTCAGTCAACTGCTGAGCCTTGAACAATTTGACAAGTTGTTCCGTCGCTGTAGGAGCAAGCTTAACAGCTGCACCAAGCTCTTTCTACAAATCAAAGACATTTCATCAAGACAATGTTACTCATCTCTGACAGATATCAATTATAAAGCATAATTACATTAGGAAATTGTGCTAGATTTAACATGGGATTTCTAAAGGTAAACGGTGTCCACGGTCCTTGAATCGATGGAAACTCCGTGTGCCATAGTTTACGCAATCTTAGCGAAGGACCATCGTGAAATTGCGTCCGCAACAATTCCATCCATTTTACAATATCGTCCCGACTATAATTAGCAACCGGCATCCATTGTCTATCGCCGTTCACTGCGTTCACACAAAGTATACATTAGCATTTTCCAACAAATAATTACGCTTTCCGTAGACGAACGTAAACATACGGTATTCGGCGACTACCACCGGATGTCTGTGCCTTCTTGGTTTAACGTATACCACCACTCCTGGATTTTCTTTCGCGTAATCGACTAAATCGTGCTCTATAAACCCTCTGCAAAACAATTAAGCATGTGATTCACAAAGAAATTGGATTTCGATGGCGGAGATATAGGTTAGACGAATCACCTCATTCCTCGACTCGAACCGTGACTTTTGCAAAACTTTAAAGTTACTCTCTGCAATTGACAAACATAACGTCCGATCCCGAGACCAACGGGTGCCCGCGGAAATCCCGCTTTCATAAACAAATGTTTATTCGACATAATGTTCCTCCTAATTGGAACTCGAGAGTAACCAGAAATGCCTCCAACTCGATTGGTCTGAAGCGCGAGTGATACTGGTCCGACTCCGATAAGCTGCGCCAACGACGCACGCGAGCACGAATCTTGAAGAAAATTCCCACATGTAATCTCATCCCCCAAGTAAAAGAAGATATGGTAATTGTGATATTGGTTTTATTTACGTTGCAAGAGCAAAGAAGAATATCAACTATACATGGCATATAATACATATATATATATGATTTCTGTGATATAACGAGATAGTTTTGTATAGTTTGATCATAGCAAGTATGAGTTTTATTATAATTTGGTCTTATTCAGCTGTTTTCATTCGTCATTTTTCCTAGCGTTAATCTATGTATATTGTATACGATACAAAAACTATGTTGTATATTCCGTAAAGTCATCCATATAAACTCGCTTGTTGGTTCTCGGTGATAATTCGTCTGCAGCAGTCTCCGGATTGTTGTTGATATATTCCTGCAACACTCTGCTTCTTAACCGCTTGATATGACGTAAGCGCTCCAACCAATTGGAAGCATATGGGTTGTGATTGTTTTGCTTCAAAGACGAACAAACCATCGAGGCCAACTATAATGAATAACTATAATGAATATTGTCTCTAATTCTGTTTTGCTATATAAAAGGAAATATCTTGTATAATATTTACATTAGCGTGTAGAGCAAGTTGCCGCGAAAGAATAGCCAAATTTTGATCGGAAATAATTTTAGGCTCACTATGACCAATATGTTCAGCCAATTCTTCTCGCGCTTGTACCGTAACTTGATTAGTACCATGATCCAAAGGTTGTATCACGACACAGGCGTAATTAAATTGACCCTGTGTGAGAAAGTACATAAATTATACTTGTATAGAGTTATAAAGACAGCGTTTAATGTTATATACACACCTTAACTGTCTGTATATTGTAAGGTTCATCAGATTCATTATATACAAGTGTTACATAATTATTCCCAATGTGTGTCTTTTTAGATGTACACTTTGGGTCGCTCGCTTTTGTAGGCATCAACGTTGCAACATGGAAAGCTACCTATAAATAAAAATTGTCCATTCATTTCAGAAAAAGCAATGTATTAATGTCCCGATTTACAAACCTGCGTAACGTCATCTTGCCAAATATAAGCAAACTCTCCATTTTCGCCATTACGATCTAATCCACCTAAAAATATATTTTCATCGACGTCTTTCAGGCGAACCAATGTCCCTAGACGTTTCAAAAATTCAGTGTAACGTAGGGAACCATGCTGATTAGCCAAAATTTCAATTTCGTTGGAAGCTTGTCCCTGGCCGACATAGAGTACTCCAATTTTGTGAGTTTCATACGGCTGTATTCTATCTAGATTTGTCACTGCGCGTTGTATGGCTGTTGTCTGTGGTACCAACAAAGGCTTTTCTGTGGTAGTGCCAAAGTGCGCTGCATGGTAAAGTTGAAGGAATACAAAACTGTAACGGTACAACGTGTTAATTTCCTCTTGCCAATTGTTGAAATATTATACACGTCGAAACAACTCGAGATACCTTGGATTAATTCCTGTTCGCGGTGGATCTTTTACTCGAGGAGAGTTGCCTCGTCGCATGTTATCCCATTCCCGTGATTTTTTCACTGGGCTCATAACAGAGATTGTGTGGCCTCTGTCGCGGAAAGGTATAGGCAAGGGAGGCAATGTAGACGGATCTGGCCTCTCATCTTTCTGCTAAAAGTCATCAAGTAGGACTGGTGTGATATACGACAAATATGTTTACATACCTTATCTGCAATATGACTTCGCCCGATAGGTGGTTTACTTTCAACAGTCAGTGGCACTTGCTTCGAATTGTAATCAAAACTAGACAATCGAGAATAAACTTGAGTAGGTGATTGCGGCGCTTTTGTAGTAGACGATTGTATTTGCGCAGGGCGTGTTTGTATTCCTAAATAATTTCCTGGTGCCTATATGAATTTTCACATTATAATATAGTACAATTCTTATCATTTTGCTAACATATTATCCGCACCTGTATAGTTGTAGGAGATGGTGGTACGGTATTGCTGGTCGTTGAAATTGTTTGAGTAATCTGTGTTGCTCCTGGATAAGAACGTTGCGAACGTAACGCGGCTGGATGATCTCCGGTATTTTCTGAAGAAGGTGGAGTTGTTCCCATGCCAAATATTTCTTCCGGTATGGCTTCGCAGCTAACTCTATAAATTATGCAAATAAATCATTCATCTATCGTCAGACAAATAATACAAATAATATACATGTAAATGTACCTCATATCTTTTGTATAAATATTTTTTGAATGCTTCTTCAGTTCTGCATCCAGTTTGATCTCTAGCTCTGAGCAAGTAAAATCTTTGTCAACTTGTTGCTGCACATTTAATTTTTCTTTATTTAAGAATGGATTTTTCCAATTGGCGCTCATCTCTGGACTAGAATTCGACCGGCGTACTGGATTTCTCGAACGCCGTGTATCTATGGAAGATTTTTTTCCCATCTTTTTAAATTGTTATTAATTTAAAACTGCAAGCCAATTTCCACGTAATAAAATTAATACCTTCTTCACCCTCTTCTAAACTTTCCAAACTGTCTCTTGAACTCTGCCGAGATGGACTAGGTCGAGCCGGCGAACCAGGTATTGCAATTGGACCCGATGCTACGGAAGAAATTATCGGTTTCGCTCCATGTTCACTCTGCGACTGACTAATATTATTCTTGTTTGGCACATCCTGTAATACGAACTATTAAAAGTCCCTTTCTTGCCGAATAACTTGCAATAATTAAGAATTATGATAATTTTACTTCTGTTTCTTCATCAGAGTATTCTGAGGCAACCTCTTGCTGTTTATTTGGTATTACATCTTGATTTGATGGCATATATAAAGCCATAATGTCGTGCACAGGAAAATCCATAGGAGTTTCAAATTGTGTAGAATTCTGGATTCTCATAATCCAAGACATATCGCCTGTAGGTCTGCGAACATATATTTCAGCCCATCCTTGACACCAGCAAGCACAGAGTATATGTCCATCTTGTTTATCGCTATTTAAGATCTGTCCCAACTTTGACGTTTCAACTTGATCCTTATCAGTTTTCTCCATAAGAAATTCCTTTTTCATATTGTCAGGATCTTCTGTAGATTTTTTAGATTCTTCCGTGGGAGAATTTGTAGCAGTATTTGCATTTGAGCTGCCATGACCACCAGAAGATTGTCTGGATAACTTGTCCTCTTTCGATGTCTATCGATATAATTTTTTATGTGTAATATGCCTTTTTTCAAGTACATGGAATTATTTACAAGTTAATGTTTTCGGTGCAGTGTATAAATACAATCATTACTGCAGATTGTTTATATTGTTAAAAAGAAACACAACTATTAAAATTATACCATTCCATTTTTGAATCATGTACTTTGGAATATTTATATGAATTTATCATATTAAGTACCTCGATGCTTGAAGTGCGTTGTAAGTTTGAATGAGAGGTTTTTGTATGATCGAGTAACAGAAAGCCAGGTTTGCACGCTGCCCAACAGTTGTCACAAAGTCCACCACGCATAGCTTTATTACTACAACCACTTGTCGTTACAGTGATAAGTCTGTTGCCAAGAATCCAAGTCATTGACTGACCTTCTTTAAGGAGGAAATCGGCAGCTGGTAATCTGTTGTAAAATCAATAACATTTCCTTGTTTCATACTTGTTTTAGTTAATCAAGATTAAGTAAGATTAAGTTACCTTTTAGGCCGTGCTGAATAATTTGAAAACGTATAACGAGCCATTAAATCAATGCAAGTTTCAATCAGCTCAATATGAAAGTTCATCAAACCTTCGTCCATTGGAGGTTTTAAATCTAAAGCTCTGCTTTCTCCTATCATTCGATTGGCCATTATTGGTCTTTCTCTTCGACCTCTACTACCCTGTACATACACACAAAAATGTATATTCATCTAATGTTAAATAATTGCCAAGATATAAATGCATGCACACGCGTGACATGTACACATATGTATACATGCATACATGTAATATTATTAAAAGGCATTTTGATAAATATAATTATCACAGATATCTTTATTCCTACTTGTTCAGTCAAGCTAGAACTACGTTTTCTGTTTGAAGAATCTTCGTTGATAACACTAAAATCAGATTTCATTAGATGTCCTTCTTCAAGAGGGATTATCACGTTTGCTTTCAATCCCTGTTTACAGAAAAAAAGAAGAAGAAATAAAACATAATCATGTCGAGTATTCGCAAAAATTAAGCAATATATTGACATAATTGTACATACCGTAGTAATAAATTTAACAAAATCTCTCCGAAAAGGAAGTCTGCACTTTAAAATCCATACAGCAATTACATGATAAGCCAGAGATACCGTATAATGGTTATATTTGAAAGGATTGGTATATGGCAACAGTATTGCAAATACAGACATGTATTGATCTCCAATAAAGCTGGCAAAAACTTTTGGAAGTCTAGTTAGAGCTAAAACGTAAATTTACATTTACAAAATTGGTATTATAAATTCAATCAAGTCTTTGTTTCTGACTGTATATAGGAAACTTACTTGATAAAAACTCTATAATTGGTATAGCAATATAGACTGTTGCAGAAATTTTTGATAAATTTAATAGGACTTCGGATAAAAGTTTATTCATTGCATCACGCATTTCTAATGTACAGATTGTGAGACTGGTTACACATTGGCTTGCACACTTTGCTGTGAGGCCAACCTAAAGATCAATTAAATTTTGCAACATGTAAAAATCTTGATACATTATAATAACTTGTTATATTCTGTATAATCATATAAAATGCATTGTCTTACCTCGAGACATTTTATTAGACTTTGTTGCAAATAAGGTTCCAAATGCGCATGATATGATGCTAGAGATGCTAGTACTGGAAAAACGTAGACTCGAAATTCGGAGAGGGTAAATTTAGGCGGAACATTGTAAAGCGATTCAGGGAGACGTAAACTCTTATCACTCACCTAAAGGTTACCAAATTAATAAGTATTTAAATAATATAAAGCTTATAAGAGATAAAGAATGAGTTAACCAACCATTGAACA